AGAATAGACAAGGGCCAGAATCAAGTCTCGGATAAGCAGGTTCTATGTAGAATAGACAAGGGCCAGAATCAAGTCTCGGATAAGCAGGTTCTATGTAGAATAGACAAGGGCCAGAATCAAGTCTCGGATAAGCAGGTTCTATGTAGAATAGACAAGGGCCAGAATCAAGTCTCGGATAAGCAGGTTCTATGTAGAATAGACAAGGGCCAGAATAAAGTCTCGGATAAGCAGGTTCTATTTCGAATGGTCATGTCAGCTTTTGTCGATACTAAGCAAACGATAAATTATCATGTGGTTATCGAAAACAAAGGAACAAATGTGTAAATGTATGTTTAATATGGCATTTGTAGATACAACTTGCTTGAAAATCTCATAATCGTGATCACTTTGGGTGAATAAAAAAGATTCATCTGACATTTTCGTTTTGCATAACCTGTATTTTTGCGATAATATTGAAGGTCCGAATTCATAACTTCGTTCTGTCTTCTTAAATGAATCATCAGAAAAATGAACTCATTTAAACAATGTAATGCTCTTCTGAGGATGTTGAAAGGCACAAAATGTTTAAAGAAAATTAACTAATTTAGACAGTGTAGTGCTCTTATGAGGATGTTGACAGACACTTGGCACAAGATGTTTAAAGAAAATTAATCAATATAAACAATGTAGTGCTCTGCTGAGGATGTTGAAAGACACTTCACACAAAATATTTAAAGAAAATTAATTAACTTAGACAATATAGTGCTCCTTTCGGGAAGCTGAAAAACACTTCACACACACATTGACTAAAAGAAATTGAATTAATTATTATAAAGCACTTAATGAAAATATACCACTCGTGTTAGTTAAGAAATAAAAATGTAATTTTAATGCAAAAGCTGTAGGTGCATAAAGTACATATGTTAGTAGTCGAACGGTTAAGATGCGTGATAAAAAAATCTGTCCCGTACACAAAGACACACTGTAACAATCCATGAAAAGAAATCTGCCCAAGTATTGATTGTGTGTTAACAATAGTACCGTTCAACTCAATACTATTATATTCTTTATTACATTCATTACGTTCTGAACATTTCATTGTTAAGCCTAAACGACAACAATACTTTTACTGGCACGTAGCAACCGTGCTTTTATTATACTCTTTGGTTATTTTGTTCAAATCTTGGTATATATGATCTATAAGAACCTGATTAAGCGTTTTAAAAACTGTTTCAATTTTTAGAAAATGTGTTTGATTATTTGACTGATAATTTAAGCTAATCTCACATAAATAGATTGATAAACTTTGAGAGGTAATAATTGGTCCGAACTTTTCCCTGATACATTTCTTGTGTGTAAATATGCTTATGATGGTGGTTTTTGTCTTTCTTGGCCTGGTGGTTAGTTCGCTCGAGTCGTAACCTGTAGGTCCTGGATCGAAACACGTATTCGAACATGCTCACCTTTTCAGCAGTGGGAGCGTAATAATGTGATGGTCAGTCCCACTATTCGTCAGTAAAGAGTAGCCCAAGAGTTGGTGGTGGTTACTAGCTGCCTTCTATCTAGTCTATCACTTCAAAATTAGGGACGGCTAGCGCAGATAGCCTTCGAATAGCTTTGGGGGGAAGTTCAACAGACAAACAAACAAACAAATTCTAATAGGCGTTTTATTCCCTCAACACTGGAAAAATTACATTTTTAATTACTAAGCACACACACAGTGAAGACGTTATCGGAGTGTAAGTAAAAATAGACTTTACAAAATTCTAAGAAAACTTACCTTTTTTTGTTTTAAAGATATAAAATATTAATATTGATGTTTAAAACAATAAAAAAATCGGTAAAACATTTCAAACATATTTTTCATTCATTGCTTCCATTGATACCTTCCGCGATAGTACTTTTATCTTCTAACATCAAGAATATTAATTGGTTAGCTTACTAAGCGCAAAGATACACAATGGGCTATCTGTGCTCAGCCCACCATGGGTATCGAAAGCCGATGTTTAGCGTCGTTAGCCTGCAGACTTATCGCTGAGAGCCACTTGGGTGGAGGGGGGCACTAATTGGTTATGTTGTTAATGTATTAAAACAATAAATCAATATTACGAAACTATCAGCTGATAATGTGCCGTTATTACAACACCACGAACTTTTACAATTTAGGAAGTAGGTTTATTTATCAACTTGTAATCTAAAGTTCTAATTTCACTCTATTGTCCATTAAACGGGGAAGTAGGTTTATTTATCAACTTGTAATCTAAAGTTCTAATTTCACTCTATTGTCAATTAAACGGGTGAAATTAGAACTTTAGATTACAAGTTGATAAATAAACCTACTTCTCTATTGTCCATTAAACGAGAGATAATTATTAGTGAAGACTTATTTATTTTTAACTAACGGAGATATGTGGTCTCGGAGAGCGTTGTTAACCAAAGAAGTTTTATTAGTTAAGGTACGTTCGGAAGTCTTTTTTTTTTCAAACAAAAGAATGAAACAGCTTAATGATATGGGAAGTAGATTACCTGGTTCTAGCAAGTGAAGGCTACCGTAAACATTCTGAATTATTTAGAATAGCAATTTACTTCCGAAACTGCTTCTAGCAAGTAAAGACTATCGTAAACGTTCTGAATTATTTAGAATATCAATTTACTTCCGAAACTAGTCGCTCTTACTTTAAAAAGCTTAAAAAAGATTGGGACTCATATTACAGAGAGAACGTATTTATTGTTTAAATACTGTAACTCTGTGTTATAACACTTTCACACAAAGTAAAAATACACACTACAGAGAGAACGTATTTATTGTTTAAACACCTGTAACTCTATGTTATAACACTTTCACACAAAGTAAAAACACACACTACAGAGAGAACGTATTTATTGTTTAAACACCTGTAACTCCGTGTTATAACACTTTCACACAAAGTAAAAATACACACTACAGAGAGAACTTATTTATTGTTTAAATACTGTAACTCTGTATTATAACACTTTCACACAAAGTAAAAATACACACTACAGAGAGAACATATTTATTGTTTAAACACCTGTAACTCTGTGTTATAACAATTTCACACAAAGTAAAAACACACACACTACAGAGAGAACGTATTTATTGTTTAAACACTGTAACTCCGTGTTATAACACTTTCACACAAAGTAAAAATACATACTACAGAGAGAACGTATTCATTGTTTAAATACTGTAACTCTGTATTATAACACTTTCACACAAAGTAAAAATACACACTACAGAGAGAACGTATTTATTGTTTAAACACCTGTAACTCTGTGTTATAACAATTTCACACAAAGTAAAAACACACACTACAGAGAGAACGTATTTATTGTTTAAATACTGTAACTCTGTGTTATAACACTTTCACACAAAGTAAAAACACACACTACAGAGAGAACGTATTTATTGTTTAAACACCGTAACTCTGTGTTATAACACTTTCACACAAAGTAAAAATACACACTACAGAGAGAACATATTTATTGTTTAAACACCTGTAAGTCTGTGTTATAACACTTTCACACAAAGTAAAAATACACACACCACAGAGAGAACGTATTTATTGTTTAAACACTGTAACTCTGTGTTATAACACTTTCACACAAAGTAAAAACACACACATAGTTCTCCAAGGTGCTGGAAACTGCTTATTTTAAGGAGTAGAAATACCACATTAGTGCTCTAACGTCATACTTTATACAAAGTAACAGCATTCACCCTGTGCTCTGTGGAACAAATTCATATCCAGAAACTTGAAGCATACCACATCATCGATATTTCACGAATAGGAACAGCGATGGCGTTAAGATATCAAAGTGTTATCAAATACAAAATATAGTCCCTCGGTGGGACAGCGGAAAGTTTGCTAACTTACAACGCCAAAATCCGGGGTTCGCGATGGACACAGCAGATTGCCCAATGTGGCTTTGCTCTAAAACAAATTAACAAACAATACGAAGTACAATTTTTTTTTAGGCGACGTTTCTGTTACTTTAACTAGTTTGAGTTTTTACCGAAAACAGTGAGAATACCGAATTAAATCTTGAAATACTAAAAAGTGACTGACTCATTAAGAACCACATCACGATGTTCAAAAATATCTATTTTTATTAAAGTGTAGAAAACATTAAGTGCATATCTAATGTGAATTAACATGTTCTAAAATTACAAGCTACGAACCGAAAGGTGGACAATGTATAAACTTACTTAGACATAAACTTACCCTATATATGTGTGTTTCCTAATCTCTCCAGGACTTAGACATAAACTTACCCTATATATGTGTGTTTCCTAATCTTTCCAGGACTTAGACGAAATCTACCTTATATATATATATATATATGTGTGTTTCCTAATCTGTCCAGGACTTGGACGTAAGCTTATTAATCATAGTAGGATTAAAAATCACCACTCCAATGTTGAAATTGATTTATTTCAAGTACAACGCGAAACGAAGAAGGTATAATCCTTGGTGCTCGAAAGCCGAGACTCATGGGGAATTCCCTTATAAACAATATAAAAAACAGACACAGCTGATATCCTTATTCAGCGCGCGACCACGCTCATATGCACGCGCCGTGCGAGACGTTCTTGCGAACAGTGGCAACAATTTGTTTCGGCCAACTCCACCTGAACAAAATGTGTAATTAAAAAAAAAAAAACATGTTTCTTTTACTTGATTGAGAATCAAATAACGAACAAAAGGTGAACTGGGGTAAAACAGAAATATTATACTTTTACAAATATATTAAATATGTCCAACTTGTCTTACCTTTGTGGGTGCCTGTGTACTTGTCTTTTAACACTGTCAACTCGAATATTTTTCCAAACTGATCAAACAAGGGTTTCAGGTCGTTTTCGTCTAGGTTGCGAGGAATCTGCCCTATGAACAATTTAACTGCATCGTGGTCCTTGACTGGTATGACAGATTCGTAATAATTCTGTACTCTGTGCAAACGAGTGACGGGTTCTAGCACGCCTTGCACTCCGTTGTGTAGTGTCGCCATGTTGGACACCACGCATTGTGCTCTTCGCTGTCTGGCACGTTCTTATTCCGTGCTCATTTACGCATGCGCTATCTAGAAAGATATAACGTTAGCCGATATTAGTCATTGGTGAAAGGATTAGTCAAAGACCATTTCGTTTGTTTGTTTGCTGGTTGTTGTTTTTTTTTCTTTTACCTTTTAAGTTGTTATAAAATAATTCCTTCAATAGTTATAAAGAAACACGCTAGAGTGTGCTAGACATCTTTTCGACATAAAAAAATCAATAAAAATATATACGTTTCACACATTCTGTCACAAACTGTTGCATGTTCAATGTCGCATTTTTAAATTTCCCACATATTTTTTTTTCCTTTTGGTGATTTCACATATCAAATTAAAAAGGAAATTTGTCTGATGTAATTTCGGTTAAAAAAAATAGTAATACTTTTCCTTCTGAAGAATAATTGAGAAATCCGTGCTTATCTATATAGTATTTTCTCAATCCGTGCTTATCTATATAGTCTTTTCTCAATCCGGGCTTATCTATATAGTCTTTTCTTAATCCGTGCTTATCTATATAGTCTTTTGAGAAAAGACTATATAGATAAGCACGGATTAAGAAAAGACTATATAGATAAGCACGGATTAAGAGCCCGTGCTTATCTATATAGTCTTTTCTCAACCCGTGCTTATCTATAGAGTCTTTTCTTAATCCGTGCTTATCTATATAGTCTTTCCTCAATCCGTGCTTATCTATATAGTCTTTTCTTAATCCGTGTTTATCTATATAGTCTTTTCTCAATCCGTGCTTATCTATATAGTCTTTTCTCATCCTTCATGGAAGTAAGATAAACATTTTTCCGACATACTAGGTTCGAGAACTTTCGTGAACTGCAACTAACTTCTTGTTGAATGAAAAAGGGGGCGACGTTTCGGCTTCTGTACTGAAGCCTTCTTCGTTGGCACTAGGAACATAAATCATATATTTTTTTCCATATTGGTCTGGCGTTCTACTATTAGTTTTGTGAGTCTCGGGATCGAAACCCGGTGCCGAACATGCTCGCCCTTTCCACCGTTGGGGCGTTATAATGTGATGGTCATTTCCACTATTCGTTGGTAAACAGTAACCCGAGGGTTAGCGACGGGTGCTGCCGGCCGGTTGCCCTCCCTCTAGTCGGCAGTTCAATATTAGGGACGGCGGCTAATAATCTTAGTATCTTTGCCATAAACAAACGAACAGCCCTCCACTCGCCCGCCCACCGGCTCAGCGGTACGTTTGAGGGCTCACACAGCTAAACATCAGGTTTCGATACTCGTGGTGGGCACAGTACAGATAGCCCATTAGTGTTTCCTATCAGATAAATTATTTTAATTGACCGTTGCCATCTAACGATTTCCCCGTTGGGTCAGCGGTAAGTTTATACAGAGTTACAACGCTTAAATCCGTGGTTCGATTCCCCACGGTGGAGAGAGCGCACATAGCCTACTGTATAGCTTTGAACTAAGAAAAAAAACAGCCACCTAGAGATCGATTACCTTACTAAAACCTCATACGTATGTCAATATTTCAAACGAACTTTTAATTCTAGACAGTTGCTACTGCCGCCAGTGGCACAGCGATACGTCTGCGGACTTACAACGCTAGAATCCGGATTTCGATACCCGTGATGGGCAGAGCACAGATAGCCCATTGTGTAAGCTTTGTGCTTAATTACAAACAAACAACTGCTACTTGTTTTTTCTTTCTTTTGTCTGTTTTATTTCTTACAATCCACCAGCCCGCCGGTATGACAGCGGAAAGTTTACGGACTTGCAACGCTCACTTCGGGGGTTCTATTCCCCGCGGTGGTCACAACAGATAGCCCAATGTGGCTGTGCTCTAAAACCGGACAAACAAACCAATCCACTTAAGCAACGGCATCAACATGCTGTTGGCTCTTTGGTCTATCTGCGTGACGTCATACACTAAACAAGGTTAAGTTATTCAGTTATTCTTTGTATGTACTTATTTAGACTTTCACGGTGTTATCAAAATATAATATAATATACCACACTTTACACGTTAGACAAATCCAGTTTAGTTCCTTCGACATTTTTCTTCATTAAAGACTTAGATCTTCTTCATTTGTTGAATTTAATGAGTCGAAACAACACAAGAAACCCTTGGATTACTCAAAAACAAATGTTACTAGGCAACATATGGTGGTGGAGTATATAGTATAGTATACATATGATGTCTAGAAGTATGTTTTATTCACACAATAATTCTACTTTTATAGATGAAGTGTATAGTATACATATGATGTCTAGAAGTATGTTTTATTCACACAATAATTCTACTTTTATAGGTGGAGTGTATAGTATAGTATGATGTCTAGAAGTATGTTTTATTCACACAATAATTCTACTTTTATAGGTGGAGTGTATAGTATAGTAT